TGAACTGTGGTCAGCCATGTGGGAGTCTAGCACCTTAACTACCATGCCATCTGCCAGCTCCTTCATGAGCTTTTTGAAGTACTCTTGTATTGTCCTTAAATCTACACTTTCTGTAATTATACAGTGGCGTTAGGGTATGGCCACTTATGAGTGGAATCCACACTATACCTTTTCCTCTCACAAGTAGTTTTTTTCAGTGGGCTGTTTCTGTTAAAAATTCTACACAGACCAGCTGATAGCATGGTGGTTAGGGTGACTAGATCCCACATGGCTGAGTGCATGGTTTGAGTTCCAGATCTAGTGGCTTGAAAAACACATTGGCTGCATACATGTGCCTGCCCAAAATCCTAAAAGGGGAGGGTAAGACAGAGGAGAAGGGAGTGTGATATGACCATCCTCTTAGGGGCTGCTTTCTTATTTTCGCTCTCTGTGTGTCTCTCTATCTCTGGTAAGCTCACATGCCCTCTTGCAAATTAAGAAAAAAAAATTCTATAACCATAGGTCTGTTCATTTTACTAAGCACTACCCTTCCTGGATTCTTTTTTTCTTTATTCATAATAGCGTGTGTGCACACATAAGAATGAGAGAACGAGGGAGAGGAGCACCCTGCACGGGGTCTGATCACACCACAGTTCTTCCTCCAGCCTGTTGGATCTGGAGCACTTGAGTGCATGCCCAGTGTGTTCCAGGCTGACTAGCCCGGGGATTCAAATCACAGTTGTTGGGGGCGGAGCTGGGGGTGAGGAATCCAGCGTTTCTTGCACTCACCAGAGAGAGAGAGAGAGAGAAATCAGCCCCCAGGTGGAATGGCCACGCCATAGTTCCTTCTTCTCTGTTCTTCTTTTCGGATTTTGGGCACACACACGCACGTGCCCAGCCTGATTTTCAAACTGTCAGGTTCAGGACTAGAACTGTGCAATTGACCATGTGGGATCTAGCACCTTAACCCTCACATCATCTGCTTGCCCCTAGATTGTTTTTCTTCCTCCCTCTTCCTTCCTTCCTTCCTTCCTTCCTTTCTTTCTTTTTTTCTTTCTTGAGTTCCTCGGTTTTTGACATTGGGCACATGCACTCACCAGAGAGGAGAAAGACAGAGAGGCACTGAGACGGAAAGTGAGAAATCATATCCTAGAGGGATGGCCATGCTGCAGTCCCTTCTCCTCAGTTCTTCTGGAATTTTGGGCATACACACACACCTGCCCAGTTTGATTTTCAAGCTGCCAGGTCCAGGACTTGATCTGTGATTGGCCATGTGGGAGTCCAGAACCCTAACCATTACACTACCCACTGGCCCTGGATTATTCTTTTTGAAAGAGAATGTCTCCTGGAGAAGTAGCACACTAAATTACGTTAGTATGAACGGCTGTTCAATGTATTCCCTTTTAAGAATTTTTAATTGACAACTAATAATTACATATTTTTATGAGGAAGATATATTCTTCTCATCCAAAGGGACATGGTGCCTTAGGTGCACTGGACACCAACAGTGCAGGACATTTTAGGAGACCAGAAAGAAGTTCAGAAATGGGGACCAGCAGATGGTGTAATGCCTACGTCACTGGACTCCCATGTAGTTGACCACGGTTCAAGTCCTGGACCTGGTGGCCTAAACTCACACTGGTTGCATGTGCATGTGTGCCCAAGATCCCGAGAGGAGAATGGAGGAGAAGGGATTGTGGCATAGCCATCCACCCTGGGGAGTGATTTCTCGCTTTCTGTCTCTCTCTTTCTGGCAAGTACATGCACCTTATAGCAAAAACAAAACAAAACCTCTCCAAAAACAAGTTCAGAAATGAAAACAAGGCCTGGCAATCTGTCAGGCTATTCTGAGTGCCCCACTGCACTAACTCTTTTCATTGTTGCAACAACCCCATGAACTGGGTACTCTCATCACCCTCAGTTTGCAAATGAGGAAATAGAAGCTAAGAGCGGTGAGTGATTTGCCCAGAGTTATACAGCTAGTAAGTGTGCTCACTGGAGAGAGACAAAGAGAGAGAGAGAGAGAGAGAGAGTGAAGAAGCACCCCCCAATGGGGAATGGTCATGTCACAATCTCCTTTCTCCCTCCTTTCCAGGTTTTGAACATGCATGCTCGTACTCCTGGCATGTTCTCAAGCTGCTAGGTCTAGGACCTGAAGTTAGGACTGGAACCATTGCTTCCTGTTTTTCAGTGTGATATGCTGGGGGTCTCCAAGACTGCTCCCAGGCTCCAGGATTCCGTAGGAGGACTTCCAGCGTCACCCTGTATGCAGTGTGACATATTATAGTGAAAAGGGTACAAGTAAAACCTGTGCAGGAAAAGGGATCTTGGGCATGCACACACACGTGCCCAGTTTTCAGGCCACTGGGTCCAGGACTCGAATTGCAGTTGGCCATGTAGGAGTCCAGCAATGTAACCAGTACGCCACCTGCTGGCCTCTGCAGTGTTGTTGTTGTTTAAAGGAACAATTTAGGACTGGCCTTATGGGACCCCAGTTAAACACTGTACATTGGGATCTGGATCCCACAAGTTCAACCACAATTTGAACCCTGTCCCCAGTGGCTGAAAAACACACCAGACGTGTGCATTATGCTTAGAATCCTGATGAGATGGAAAAACTGAAGTGAATAGGTTGAGTGTGACCACGCCCCATTGGAGGGGTTCTCTGTGTGTGTCTCTCTTTTTCTCTCGCTCTCTTTCTTTCTCTCTGGCAAGTACATGCATGTTCTAGTAATTAAGAACAATTTTAAAAGGATCAATGCACACTTTTCTATAAGGATATAGCCCCCTGTCCTCCATAAATCTCACATAATGGCCCAGGAGTAAATGAAGAGAGTGATTCAGGACACTTGGCACAGTGTAGAGCGGTGAGTGTTGCCCAGAGTTATACAGCTAGTAAGTGTGCTCACAGGAGAGAGACAAAGAGAGAGAGAGAGAGAGAGAGAGTGAAGAAGCACCCCCCAATGGGGAATGGTCATGTCACAATCTCCTTTCTCCCTCCTTTCCAGGTTTTGAACATGCATGCTCGTACTCCTGGCATGTTCTCAAGCTGCTAGGTCTAGGACCTGAAGTTAGGACTGGAACCATTGCTTCCTGTTTTTCAGTGTGATATGCTGGGGGTCTCCAAGACTGCTCCCAGGCTCCAGGATTCCGTAGGAGGACTTCCAGCGTCACCCTGTATGCAGTGTGACATATTATAGTGAAAAGGGTACAAGTAAAACCTGTGCAGGAAAAGGGATCTTGGGCATGCACACACGCGTGCCCAGCGTGATTTTTCAGGCCACTGGGTCCAGGACTCGAATTGCAGTTGGCCATGTAGGAGTCCAGCAATGTAACCAGTACGCCACCTGCTGGCCTCTGCAGTGTTGTTGTTGTTTAAAGGAACAATTTAGGACTGGCCTTATGGGACCCCAGTTAAACACTGTACATTGGGATCTGGATCCCACAAGTTCAACCACAATTTGAACCCTGTCCCCAGTGGCTGAAAAACACACCAGACGTGTGCATTATGCTTAGAATCCTGATGAGATGGAAAAACTGAAGTGAATAGGTTGAGTGTGACCACGCCCCATTGGAGGGGTTCTCTGTGTGTGTCTCTCTTTTTCTCTCGCTCTCTTTCTTTCTCTCTGGCAAGTACATGCATGTTCTAGTAATTAAGAACAATTTTAAAAGGATCAATGCACACTTTTCTATAAGGATATAGCCCCCTGTCCTCCATAAATCTCACATAATGGCCCAGGAGTAAATGAAGAGAGTGATTCAGGACACTTGGCACAGTGTTGTCACATAGTATTTGATAGATACTGTCTTCCAGACCATTTGTAGTCTATTAGAGCTGGTAGGGAGCTTAAATGTAATTAATTCTTAAGTAATTAATTCCATCTCTGTTCCCCCTGTCCATCACAGGCGGCCCTTACCAGCTTGAGGTCAACATCTCCAGCACCGGCATACTCCCCAATGGCACCCTCTATGCAGCCAAGGGCTCCCAGGTGGATTTTAGTTGCAACAGCACCTCTTGGCCTCCACCCATGGTCGAATGGTGGTTCCAGAGTTCTACCTATGAGCCCTTGGGAAACAACCTGACCGTCAACTGCTTTGCACTGCTGCAAATGTCGCAAAACCTCCAAGGGAACTACAGTTGCCTGGCCATGAACATGCTCAGCGGCAGACATCGAAAGGTGACCACCGAGCTCCTCGTCTACTGTGCGTAAGAGGCACCCACCACTTCTTCACCTTTACCCTCTCTACACTGTGTATTTGTACTTCTTCCTCATGTCTTCCAAGACATGTCTGTTGCATGGGTCTTAGCATGTTTCTGCAGCTCTCTAAATATGCACTTGTGTCCCCAGCAGCTTCTGCATGCTAAAGATGGAATCTCCCCTTCTAGAAATTTCCTGCTAACCAGGGCTATAAGAGAGTTTCTGTGAACTGCAGAAGGGAACTAATGTCAAGCCTCATACCCTCTTTTTTTTTTTATTGAAGTCAAAGTGTATAATATCCATTTTATTTATTTATTTTTTTTTAAACTTTTGCTGTAGGGCAAAAGTCTTTTTGGAGAGAATCAGAGAGAAACAGAGGAAAAATGAGAAATCATCCCCTGTGGGGATGGCCATGCTGCAGTCCCTTCTTTATTCTTTCAAGGTTTTGGGCATGCACATACAGGCACCCAGTGTGTCTTGAGAATTTTTTGCTATAGGGCACGTGTACTCGCCAGATAGACAGAGACAGAGAGACAGAAAGCGAGAAATCACCCCCCAGGGGGGATGGTCACGCTGCAATTCCCTCCCCTCCATTCTCCTCTCGGGATCTTGGGCATGCACGTACACGTGCCCGGCGTGAATTTTAAGCCACCGGGTCTGGGACTCGAACCGCGGTCGACTACATGGGAGTCCAGCGACATAGCCATTACACTAACTGCTGGTCCCCCCACCCCCCAGTGTGTCTTTCAAGCCACCGGGTCTGGGATTCAAACCTCACTGTCAACCCATGTGGTATCCAGCCCCCTGAACCACCACAGTACTGGTTGGCTCCACATAATCCATTGTAAAATGTACAATTCAGAGGCATTTAGTAAACCCTCTCACTAGCCATCATTTCTTTCTAGTTCCGAACATTCTCATCACACCAAATGGAAACCCTGTACCCATAAAGCATTCACCTACCTCCTCCATAGCCCTTGCCAACCACCAATATGCATTCTGACTCTATGGAGTTACCTATTCTGGATATTTTATGTGAATGCATCATGCAGTATGTGGCCTTTTGCGTCTGGCTTCTTGCACTTAGCATAATGTTTTCACACAATAGCATTGTAACGTACAGTGTCAGTACTGCATTCCATTTTATAGCTAAATAATAGTCCATTGAATGGACATACCACATGTATCCGTTGATCTGTCTTTGGCATTTTTCTTGTGAACCCCTTGTGGCCATCCCAGGCAAATGTCCTCTAGCACTGTTCTGAAACAGCACAGAGAATCTCTTGTGGGGGTAGGGAAATACCAACCCTTCTAGCCCATTTTGTTGCTAATAATAGAAAATGCTAAGTCTATCATTTATAAAGAACAGAGGTTTATTCAGCTCCTGGTTCTGGAGGAGCAAGGTCCAGGGGGTGTATCTGGTAAGGATCATCCTGTTGGCAGAGTCCTGAGGGCACCACTTGGTATCACACAGTAGAGCAGAGCATGTCTCTTGGTCTCATTTCCTCTCCTTCTAACTCCCTAGGGCTCAGCCATGGGGCCTCACTCTGATGCCTACTCACTTCCCAAAGGTGTCTCCTTTGAATACCATAAACAGAATAAGTACGAAGAAGCTGTTCTTTATAGCTTCACAATACAACCAAGTTTCAACACATGCATTTTGGGGGGATGTATTCGAACAGTAGCACCAACCAAACATCCCTGTATACAGATATCTTGGATAAAGGCAAGGTAGAAATCAGAGCATACACCTAATCCACACTAATGACAGAGGCATCAGGACAACAAATGAGTGGGCAGGATAATGACACATTGCTTAATTCCTATGATATTCAGCGCCTTTATCAGCCCCTGTGTTCTCTTTTATCATGACATTTATAAAGTGCTTGTAGGAAATACATGAACAGGAAGAAGAAAATAATCACATGAACCCTAACCATTATTGTGGTTTATTTCTAATCATTTTTCTGGTAGATGTTACATATTCACTCATCAATAATCCAAGTTCATTTCTATTTAGATGTATAATAGAAAATATATGATTGTATATATAATAGATATGGCTATATCATTATTAATGCATAAGGAGTATATTGGATTTGTAGGTTTATATGGAGTATATTGGATTTACAGGTTTATAATCTATTAAATTTATGTTTGTGTTTAGTAATATATGAGCATAGTAAAAAGGAACAAAAATATAAAGGGGGACCAGCAGATGGCATAATGGCTACGACACTGGACTCCCACCAGGTCGACCACTGTTTAAGTCCCAGACCCAGCGGCTTAGAACTCATGCCGGATGCATGTACATGTGTGCCCAAAATCCCAAGAAGAAACTGGAGTAGAAGGGATTGTAACATGGCCATACCCCTGGGGATGGGGCAATTTCTCGCTTTCTGTCTTTCTGTCTCTCTTTCTCTCCAGTGAGCACATGCGCCCTATAGCAAAAATCTGTCCAAAAAAAAAAAGAAGAAGAAGAAAAGGTATACAAAGGAGTATCTGCTGGATGTGGAAATGAATAAGTCTTTCTCTACTGTAACACCTAGTCTTCCATAAGCCCCTGGCCGGAGGCCACCACTGAGTTTCTGAGGACCAGCACCATCCAGCACTGTGATGAGTGATCTGATATGGCTGGCCCCCAACATGGTATGAGCACTTGAAATGTGGGTGGCATGATAGGAGGAACTGGAGTTATCATTTTATTTTAATTTTAATAGCCCTATATGGCTAGCAGGAAATGCAAAGATGAATAAGGTCCTTGGAGATTTAACACCCAGCAGAGGATGCCTGACTGTTGTCAGTAACTCATTTGTGCTAGGAGCTATAGCTGAATATCATAGGAATTAAGGTGTAGTAACTGGGTCTGATGTTTCTCCAAGGCCCTGATCTGTGATCCTTAGAGCCAGCCCAATGGCTAGCCTGAGGGTCTGTGATCAAGTCCAAGTTCTCCTCTGGCTTTTTTGCAGCTCCCCCTCCATCAGCTCTCCAGTGCTGGGCAGAGATGCCATCAGGATCGTTCCTGCTGCAGCTCACCTGTCGCTGGGATGGAGGCTACCCTGACCCCGACTTCCTGTGGACAGAAGAGCCAGGAGGTGTGATCGTGGGGAAGTCAAAGCTGGGGGTGGAAGTGCTGAACCAGTCGCAGCTGTCAGATGGCAAGAAGTTCAAGTGCGTTGGGAGCCACATCGTGGGACCCAAGTCGGGGGTCAGCTGTGTGGTCCAGATCAGTGAGTCTACCTTACCTTGTCCTAGGCTTGGAGTTCACCTGCCTCCTGCTCTTCTGGGAGAGTCATTTGAAAGTAGTTGTGGGAGAGAGATCCTAGAGTGTCAGAGTGTACTGAATTTCTTCTCTTTCTTCTATTGCTTTATGTTTCCTTTCTGTCAAACTCTAAAGATGCTTAGCCAAGCTTCTTGGTTCCGAGCTCTTTCTCATTTGACAAATACTAACCAAGTACCTGCTATGGGCTGGTACCATTTCCAGGTGCTGAGGATGGAGTAGTGAACAAGACAGATAGGGTTTATATACTAGCTATCTCCTGTTATGTAACAAATTAGCCCCAAACTTAGCAGCTTAAAAACAACAATAACAATTTATTATCTCATGATTTCTGTGGCTCAGGAATTCAGGCAGGGCACAGTGGGATGGTTTGTCTTGACTCCATGAGGTTTCGAGTCTCAGCCAGAAAACTTAAAGGTTGAGGGCCTGAAATCATCTAAAAGCCCACTTCTAAGGTGCTCACTCATAGGCCTGGTGAGTTGTTTCCTCTCTGTGTGAGACACTCCTTATAGCTCCTTGAGTGTTCTCCCAACATGGCAGCCGGCTTTCCCTAGAGCACATGATCTAGGAGGGAGTGGTCCAGACATAAGACACCATTTTTTTAAAAAAGAATTATTTATGTGGGGCCAATAGGTGGTATAGTGGTTAAGGCACTGGACCCCCACATGGTCGACCATGTTTCAAGTCCCAGACTGGTGGCTTAAAATTCACACTGGGCATATGTGCCCAAAGTTCCAAGAGGAGAAGGGACAAGAAGGAATTGTGGTGTGGCCATCCCCCTCCCCTCTGTGGGGTGGTTTCTTTCTTTGTCTGTCTCTTTCTGTGTCTCTGATGAGTGTACTTGCCCTATAGCAAAAATCTCTCTCTAAAAAAATATTTATTTATTATTGTTATTATTTTGCTATAGGACACATGCACTCATCAGACAGATGGAGAGAGAGAAAGGGAAAGTGAGAAAGCAAGCCACCTGATTTAGGATTCAAACTGTGGTTGGCCACCTGAGAGTCCAGTGCCTTAACTACCACACTACCTGCTGGCCCCAGCAGCCACCTTTTTTATGACCTAGCTTCAGGAGTTCCATGGTATTCATGGTGACACATTATTTATTAGAAATGAGTCACTAAGTCCAGCTCATATTCACAGAGAATAGAGAGAATTAGGTTCTAATTTTTTTTTTTTTGAGAGGTTTTTGCTATAGGGCGTGTG